CCCCCCTCCTCCATTTTCCCAGTTGCTAGTCTCTGACCCCTCTTTGTGGGGAGTTTATTTTTCATCTCTTTGGTGGCCTTGCTGTTTGCTTGCTCACTAAGTGATTTATTCACCAAGGCTGCCTCCAAGACAATGTGGGATGGAGACCAAATGCAAACGACTAGAGAGGAGCCAGGATAAATAAAACCCAACTGTCTCCAAGCCTATGCATACATCTGGGCTGTGTAGGGTGCCTCATCTTAGCTCAAAACAGTATCCGGAAGGCCCCCCAAGGACATGTGGGGAACTGGGGGCAAAGCCTCTTGATGCTACCCCCAGTGCCTTTTAAATTAAAAGTCAACATGAACTCAGGTTTTAGAAGGGAGTCTCTGTTAGTTTCTGGAGTGGCGCACACCCGTGCTCTCTCCCAACTAGGTTCCTACTACCTCAGATCCATGGTGTCCACTCCCCACCATCCACCCCTACCTCCCAGGTCTGTTCTGGTACACAAGGGTTAAGGTCATTTGTAGAAGAAACTTCTGGAGCTGCAATTCTGCTTGGGACTGGGAGCATGTGTTTGGCTTTTGCCAGATCAGGCATGGTGTGGGAAAGGCCTCTGGTTAGCAGTGTGAGTTCATGCTCAGCTTTCTTCCCAGAACATGTAGAAACATAGCTCAGAAGACAGTTTTGACAATAGCTGCTTCCTTAGTTAGGTTTGATGTGTGCCATAGTAGGAATTCAAATCCTGGTGGGTGGGTGACCTTAGAGAAGTCACAGCCCTTTTCAGCCTCTATTGTTCAGACATTCAACACAGAGGCATGTAGCAACCCATCGTCCTAAGCATTAAAGACATAGAGATGAATGCTATCAAAGGCTTGCATTTTAAAGTCTTGGTCCCTACAGATGAGATACTGAAGGGCAGCAGAATCTTTAGCTGATGACAGGGAGGTCTTTGGGTCATTGGGGAGGTCCCCTTGAAGGGCACAGAGGGACCCTTTTCCTTTTCTGTTACTTCCTGTCCGTGAGAAAAGCACTTCACTAGGATGTGTTCATCCTTACGGTACTAGCAGAGACTTGCAAACAATGGCTCTACACGGCAGGAGCTGAACACTGGAAGTAGGACCCAAACTAAATCTTTCATGGATGCAATTATCACAGGTATTCATTTGAGTGAGAGAAAGCTGACTTAGCAGGGAAGGACGGAGTAGTCTCCAGAGGCTTCTCAGAAAAGAGGTCTCAAACGAAACATAGCCAACAGGAAGCAGCCAGCTACAACAAAATCTAAACCAGGAGCAGTAGGGGTAAGAGAGAGCATCTAGTGTAGAGTTCTGTCATAGATTTGAGAGTTTAACACACACACACACACACACACACACACACACACACGAGAGTTTACAAGGGATCCTGCCTTCTTCATACTGGACACTGTGGATGCTAGAAACAGGGACAAGACTCCTGTACCACCATAGTGAAGATTTTATTATTTACAGCTTCATGTGACCTGAGCCCTTCATTCGCATTGCTTCTTCATGCTCCTTTTGCCATGGAAAATATTTGGAGTTAGGATCAGTAATATTTACCAATGGGCTTGGATGTTAGGGGTGAGAGAATGATTGGCATTTAAAATGCTTTCTAAGCTGGTACTCTACGAAAAGGAGTGTGAATTGATATTCCAGGTAAGACCTGATGACTTAAAAGTCCTACTTTGAGCAGGGAAAAATTGATGACTGAAAGATAACTATGAGAAAGGGCATGGAAAGCAGTCAGGTGTGAGAGTTTGGGGCTTTAAGAGAAAGGTCCAAAGCTGGAGGCACACCTGATGTGATGGCTTGAATATGCTTGGCCCAGAAGTGGCAATATTAGAAGGTGTGGCCCTGTTGGAATAGGTTGGCCTTGTTGGAGGACGTGTGTCATTGTGAGTTTGGGCTTTAAGACCCTGATCCTAGTTGTCTGGAAGCCAGTATTCTGCTAGCAGCCTTCAGATGAAGATGTAGCACTCTCAGCTTCTCCTGCACCATGCCTGCCTGAACGCTGTCATGTTCCCACCTTGATGATAATGGACCGAGCCTCAGCACCTGTAAGCCAGTCCCAATTAAATGCTGTCCTTATAGGAGTTGCCTTGGTCATTATGTCTATTCACAGCAGTAAAATCCTAACTAAGACAGCTGGTAAACATTCCCTTGGCAAATGCAAGGTCTCGACTATCCTAAGACTGATGTGTCTACTAGAGATTTCTGTCCAGCCTTCCCTTCTCACCTGGGCAGCAGAATCCCTTGCAGCTACTGTTAAATACAGCAGAATTCCTTGCAGCTACTGTTAAATACAAGTTCCTTGTTTCTTTCATGTAACATGTTGTGATCCAATAGATAGGTAGATGGATGAGAACATAGTTGGATAATAGACTGGTATTTCTGCATGCATCCACTATGTACATCTTTTTTTTTTTTTTTTTTTAAAAAAAAACCACTTACTGTGCTTCCAGAATTGAATTGGGTTGTGATGGCTGATACCATGGCAACCTCTATGGTTTAGATAATGGCAAGAGAACCACTAAGGCTGGTCCTGACTTCTCTGAGCTTACTTCCATAATGTCTGCAGCCATGTTATAACACACCTAAAGACTTCCAGTAGACATGCCCTTGCCTGCCGAACTTTGAGTTAAAGAAGCTTCCCTTGTTTATAAATGACCCCATCTTTGATATTTTATTATAGCATGATGATATAAATTTAAAGTTACTAGATACACATATTATTAATATATACATCTAAAATAATCTCCCTATTGAAGAGCAACTTAGATAAACACTTCCTTAACTCAAGTTGAATGTCTTAGTTAGGGTTTCCATTGCTGTGAAGAGACACCATGACCAAGGCAACTCTTATAAAGGACATTTAATTGGGGTTGGGTTATGGTTTCCTGGGTTCAGTCCCTATCATCATGGTGGGAAACACAGCAGCATGCCAGATGACTTGGTGCTGGTGGAGTCAAGAGTTCTACATCTCAATACAAAGGCAGCCAAGGTAGACTGTCTTCTGTGTGCAGCCAGGAGGAGGGTCTCTTCCACACTAGGTGGAGCTTGAGTATAGAGACCTCAAGCCAACACCCGCAATGACTCACTTCCTCCAACAAGGCCATACCTCCTAATAGTGTCATTCCTTGTGGGTCAAGCATTCAAACACATGAGGCTATGGGGGCTAACCCTATTCAAACTGACACACTGACCAAGACAAATTCCGTTAAATCTCAAATTTCTTAAAAATGTCCAACTGCGGGAGTCTAGAGACATAGTTCAGCAATTAAAAGTGCTTATTGCTTTTCTAGAGAATCCAAGTTCCCAGCATGCATGTCAGTTGGCTCACAACTCCCTGTAACTCCAACTTCTGGGGCCCGACACCTTGTACTGGAATTTGAAGGCACCAGCACTTACACATGTACAGACCTCTATGCAGACTGACACAATACACAAAATAAATTAAAATCTTTTAAAAATCTTCCAACTCTTTGTGTAAATGCGTTATATTTGAATTTTTAGCATTTCAAATAATTAACATGATGATGGTTTACAGCCAATTATTATACAAGCATTCTTGTATACTTTTTAAAATTTTTTTTTAGATGATGAGTCTCACTGTTGCCTAGATTAGCCTCAAACCTAAGGGTTCTCTGGGATCAGTCTCTTGAGTAGCTGTGATTACAGGTGTGTACCTCCAGGCCTTGCATTTATATCTATCTAAGCATCTCTACTAATTCTGGTAAAGTTATAATTTTGTTAATGAGCTATGTCAGGTTTTCTTATACATTTCTGCCAAAAATCACAATTCAAAGATAAATTTTGCATTTTACCTCAAGATCCTGTGCACTTTAACGAGGAAAACAACATAACAAAATGTCTTCTAAAGTTAGCCTCAAAGTATCTTTAACATGGATGTGATGGTTTTTATCACCTCTGTGTTTGGTTCCCTATGACCCAGAGCTAAGGAATCCTAAGCCTTGTTTGGGGTTATTACAACATGGCTTCTATTCTGTGGTCTTTAGAAGGATGCCATTTTGGAATCCATGTTCCAAATGTATCCATCTTTCCTTAAAAATATTTTGATATTGTCATATTTAATCCTGAACTGTGGTTCTCAGGTCGTAATGCACACCAATCCCCTTCCTGTGTCTCTTTAGAAACTCCCCCAAAATAGGATTGTAGAATTTCATATTCCATCTAACTTGGCTGCCCTGCTGCTGCTTGGACACTGTCCCCTCATGAGTCTCCCTAGCACGTTCTCCACATTAGCTGAGGCCACTCAGAAGAAGGATGTTGGCTGCACTCTCCACTCTGCCTTGTCTTAGTGGGGGAGGTGGAGACATCATGGAGGCAGAGCTGGTGCAACCTTTGTTCTAACCTCTCACCATTTAAACTTCTGAGTAGATTGTCAGTATTATATCTCATAATTCTATTTGACCCCACAGAGGGATACTCCGTAGGCAGCTGGAAATTTGTCATTACATTTCTTGACCCTTTCAGGCAAAATGTCTACTGATACTTATTGTTTCTTCCAGTCATAAATATTTCAGCCAAAAAAAAAATGTCCAACGTATCATTGGAGGACACTAGTGAGCCTTTGTGCTCTCACACATCCTCCTTTGTTTTTTTTCTAGTAAGTTGTATATGAAGTGCTTTGTCTCTATGTACTTTGTCATGACTCACACATGGACTATTTATCAACACCAAACCCACATAGATACCTAGATAGTAACAACCACCACCATCACTACTATCCATCATTGTCACCACCACCACCACCACCACCACCACCACCACCACCACTACCACCATTGCCAATACCCACCATTATCATTCCTACCACCACCACCACCATCACTATCATCACCACCAATACCCACCATTATCATTCCCACCATCACCACCACCACCATCACTATCATCACCACCACCACCACCACACGATCTACTACATCACCACCATTGTCACTATGTCCCAAATTCCCCCAAAGGTATCTGCTACAAACCTTCCCGGAGCTATATATTTTACTTTCTTTTTTTTGTACATGAAAAACCAGGATCACATATCTTTATGGACAATGGTTGGAAAATAATGAGCTAACCCTATGATGTTGTTTGCTTGAAGACCTGTCAGTCACTCCGTTCCTGTGGAATTCTTCACTTTCTCCATCCTCTCTACTGGCTGTATGCTTGAACAGTCACACGAGGAACCCTCTTGCCTTTCCATCTCATCCTTTGCTCTCCTTTGTGGAGGCTAGTGGGGACCCGATGAAGAGGACGATGTCCTTTTTGTGCCTCAGTTTCACTCAATAGAACAGATGACAACACATCAAAGAACTTTATAAGTTCCGTTTCCAGACCTTAGGAAAAGGCAGTGTGTGTGTGTGTGTGTGTGTGTGTGTGTGTGTGTGTGTGTGTGTGGTGTGGTGTGTGTGTGTGTGTGTTTATTAATACTGTGACAAGGAAGTATGTTTATTATTCTGATATTTGGAAGCCAGAGAAACTTTGTCCAATATGACAGTAAGACGTACAGCGATAGGTTTCCATTCCCGCCCGTTAGAGTCTACCAAAGCCACAATAGCATTAAAAGAAACCCCATTTCAGTAATGCACCAGAGAACATACTTATCACAGGTAAAGGGAAGGAAATCAAACACAGAGAAAACTGGAGACACGTGTAGATGTTGGGGACTTCTAGATATGTCAAAGGACCTCAAGGCTGACGGTGTTGCTTTCTGCAAATTCTCATTCTATTTCAGAGCCAAGAAATGCCTTTCCTTCTCTCGGACACAAGGTGGCGCCAGCTTTCTCTTATTAATGGTCCAGGCGAGTTGCAAAGAAGAGAGAGAACAGGGAGAAAAAGGATAAAAAAGGAGAGAAAGGTAAGGAGGAGGAGCAGGATGTCATGGTAGTGACATGAAGAAGTGGGTAGACTAGCTGAATGGAGAACAGCACAAACAACAACAACCATAATTACCACCACAACAATCACAACCACCACCACCACCACAACAACAAAGGCATATACACCAGGACCTTGGGAGGACATGGGTGGGGATGGGTGACTGACTAGCTCTGGCAAGTCCATCTGGACACATGCAGCCAGGGCAGTCCCAAATAGCTTTGCTGTTGCCTGAGAAACAAGTAAGTGTGTTCCATCAGAACAAGCAGGAAGGAGGCTCTGTGTGTGGCAAACAGTGTCTCTGTGGAGCTGAGACTGCATTACGGTGGTTGCTGATTCGTTTGGCGTAAACACCTTCATCATGAACAATTTCAAAATACAAACAGTTTAATACTTTGTTGTATAATTTCAGAATATTTAACCACCATCCTCCCTGTGCTAGTACAAGCCAGCTCCAACACACCCCGTGCAACTCAAGTTCAGATAATTGCCAGCTACATCCATGGCATGTGGACATGCCTCTCTGGTTCTGTGACTGTCAAATTTTTTAAAGGTTATTCACTCAAGATTGGCAGAATCTTTATGAGCCTCAGTGAAAGAACAGGTCTCAATAGCACATTCTCAGTCTCAATGCCACCAGAAAGCAGAAAGATCACTTGATTAGTCAATATTTAAGTTAAAAAATCATTGTATAGGTAACTCTCGTAACTATAGCAAATTTTCTAGTGTGACTTCTCCATATGACTTTTATAAGTAAATGAAAAATCATCTGTAGTTTTGTAGAGAAGTTAAGGTGTGTGTGCTTTTTAACCTCTTGCCCTGTATGTCCACTAAAACAGTCCATCAAAAACTACTTACTAGACTAAAAGTTCTAGAAATTGTGAAAGCATCACTACATGAAAAGCAGCCTTCCCTGTACACTGATTTGCAGGAGAAGACCTCACTCAGAGAACAAGAGGAGCCAGCAGACTCAGGAGGAAAGAAGCTGGTCCCGGCATCCCAGCATCCCAGCATCCCAGCATCCCAGCATCCTAGCATCCCAGCATCCCAGCATCTCCTTGGATTGGCTGACTATACTGTCACCATGATCTGGTCCAGAGTTTTCCGCTTGAAGTCAGGCACTGTGGCATCTCTGCTGGGGTACCCCACAGGAAGCAGCACCAACAGCTTCTCATATGAGGGGCGGCCCAGGAGCACCCTCAGACGAGGACCACAGTTGAGGGGAGTGGTAGTGACTGTCACTAGCCCTACATTCTGAAACAAGAGAGAACAAACATTTTAAAGTCAGACAAAACCACAGCTCTTCTTCCTGCCTGGCGTCATCTCATTTTACCCTGATGCCAGGCAGCAAAGAAGCTTTCAGCTCAGGTAACGTGTTGTGAACCTTGAGAACCTTGCCTGTGCCTCTCAACCTGCTGCCTTCATTTAGACAATCAACTGGAAACATCTGGGAGAAAAATTCGTCTTATTTTCCAGTGGTGCTGGAGTAATGGGAATAGCTGCTTTAGGGAAACAAGGTTGAAGAATGTAAGCTTTGTTAAAGAATGACGAAGATAAGCTTCTAGCTTTAGGGGATAGTCTGTACCTTTTATCGGACATAATAGCAATAGCAGTCCAACAGCACGGTCTTCAGCCTAAGTCCACTATAATTTTCCTGACAGATGTTTTTTCCCAGAATTCCAGTTACCTATCCCACTATATCTAGTTATTCATAGCCGTAATAGTAACATTTGAACCCATATAATTACAGGGATCTGGAGTGAGTTGCTACAGGCTCTCCTGAGGACTTACACACATCATCACACACCATCATCCATAAAAAGCATGTAATACCTGAGGCGATCACACCGTCAGTAAAGCACTTGCCTTGTAAGCATAAGGCTGAGTTCAACCTCCCAGAACTCATATTAAAGCAATACAAATTGAGCCATGGTGACACTTGCGGGGGAAGCAGACACAAATGTATCTGTACAGACATAGAGTGCCCTCTAGGTCCCTAGCTGTTTCCCCTTTTATCCATGCTTCCCCAGTCACCTGACTGCCTTGGAGCCTGAGCCAGGAGGAAGGCCAGGAGCTTTAGGCACAGCGAGCCCAGCCCAGGGAGTCACTGTGCAGGGGATCAGGCTCCAGGAGCAGTTTTCTCTCATGTCTCAGTCATAACCTACCTTGGAATTCTGGGAAAACAGAAGGCAGCAAGCTCAACAGGAAAGCTAGCCTGACTAGCCCTATTCACAGGCCAAGAGCACTATGGGAAGGAGGCTGGCTTGTCCTGCTTCTCCCAAACTCTATCTCTTCTGTAGTGCTCTCTGGTCTGACACTGGCAGTCTCTGCTCTCTGAGTCACCACTATTTATCTGCCTACACTGTAAGGAGAGAAACCAAAAGCCAGCTTCTTCAAGATGGTTTGAGAAGCAGTGGTAGGTATCTGAATGGGGTTAGATACAAGCCACATCTTTCTTTGAGGCAGTGAGGAATCTCACGCGTGCGCGTGAACACACACACACACACACATACACACACAGAAACATGTACACGCACACATACATATAGAACTAACTCTTCCTTCAAGCAAGGCCATTTCTCTCTTTAGTATAGTTTGTTGCATAAATTTATACATTTAGCATCTCTCACTCATCCCTCACCTGAACCCACGTCTCCGCCAGATAAACTGTTAACTGATCCCCAGTGTGTCCCAGAGATGGCACAGGGGTTTGTGAGGCAGAGCTCACCCCTGCTCTATCTCACATGCATGTTGCTCAAGCATCTCAAAAGAAACATTTGTAAGCATAGGGCCATCTTTCTGAGACAACACGGTACAGTAAGCCTCTCAGAAAAGGCACTAAGAGCCTGGTGGCTGTTTAATCAACATGCCAGCCTCGAAAGGCGAGTGTACACATGAAGAGGGTGCATCTGTAAGACTTTCAGCCTCTGGCTTTCTTCTCGTATGGCTGCTTAGATGCTCAACCTACATGCTATTGTGGAAGAAAGCAGTCACAGCAGTGACTGAGCTGTTATGACCCTGAGCTGTTACAAGTGAGTTTCCAGGGAGAATTTCAGCCTGCAGAAACATGTTACCATGTTCCAATCCAGGTTTCCAGGGGTTGTTGTCACATTGGACTTACCTTTCTGAGGAACTCAGCTCTAGGTAAACAATTCCCAAATGACCCCCAGTTGGAAACTTGGCTGAAACTTTCTGCTATAGTCATTCGTGGTCCTCCTGTCCCCCTTGTGCCTCTGGGTGTGCAGCATACCTGCAATGCAGCTAGCAGGGTGTGCAGCATAC